CGTCTAGTACATAGTCTCGACTATACAAGTACATAGTCTCAACGAGACTAGTACATAGTCTCGACTATACAAGTACATAGTCTCAACTATACAAGTACATAGTCTCGACTATACAAGTACATAGTCTCGACTATACACGTACATAGCTATGTACTTCTATTACGTACTTGTATTCGAACATGTGCGTGTTCGAATAACTCTCAACAAAAGGTACTAGTGGTTCAAGCTCTTTTCAAAAAGTTACTAATTTATTGTTTTGTTTTTTGTTCTCTTTTGTTTTTCTTTTTCTTTTTCTGGCACTGGAATTTCCTGTTCATTGTCAGGCACAGCCCACTTGGTGGGTGGGACGTGGAGGCCACCCCCACCCAGCCTGTTGCCTTTCTGTAAATGATGCTATAGACAAACTGCTGTCACAGCCACCACCCCGCACTCGCAGCAGATCTCCATCTGTCATGATAATGAACGTGTGCTGTTCTGGTGTACAGAACTGCGTGAGGAGAAAATTGAATCCGAAACGATCCAACAAAGTGCCATAAAGAGCACGCTGGCGAATGACAGCAAATGATGCACATAGCAGGTAGAGCGTCGATGAAACACAATGGCATGAGGAGCCCATGCAGCGCTCTACCACGTGATCAAAGCGCAGTCCATCGGTTGGATTTCAACACCTGCCGACACCTGCCCGCACAAGCACCGGAATCCAGAAAGGAGATAAATGAACCGACGGAAATCCAACTGGACCATGACAACCTAAAGAAGAAGGAAAGCTGAAGAGCAAAGCCAGCGACAAGCCTATGGTGCAGCACATGTCCTGCTAAGACTTTGACTGGCTTTGCAATCAGCAGTGAATAGTGTCAGAACCTGGAAGCAGTTAGTTAGTTAAGTGGTAGTAGTAGTAGTAGTAGTAGTAGTAGTAGTAGTAGTAGTAGTATCAGCGACCAGGCGGCAACCGTACCACCATCGAATCGAGCAACAAAGAAGGACACTACCTTACCTCCTTCCCCAAAGCAGGTAGGACCAACAGAGGAACCAAATTGGTTTCCAAAACCAGGCACTCCCTGCGCGAGGATGACATGCACAGATCTAGAAATGGTCCAAATTGTTGGTGGTGAATAGAAAAGGAAAGCAAAAGAGGAAGGGAAAAAAAATATACACCATCTGTTAAAATTGGAACGATACCGAGAAGTTTAGCATGGCCCCCAAGCAAGGATGACAAAAAAAAAAAAAATTGAAAAACCACCTGCCTGGTTCCCGAAACAAGGTGGGATGTAAAAGTGAGCGCCCGCCCAAGCCAACACGGCATGAGCAGGAACAAAACAGAAACCTGCTTGCTTTTCCAAAACCAGGTAGGCGCAAAAACCATACCTACCTGGGTTTCCAAAACCAGGTATACCTACTTGGGATTCCAAAACCAGGTAGGGCCAAACGCCCAACCTGACTTGTTCCCAAAACAAGCTAGGATAAAAGTGAATAACAAACCCCACCCAAGCCAACACGGCATGAGAAGGAACAACATGAGCTTGCAGGTCAAATGCTTGGACTCCTAAATGCCCTAAGCTTGCCTGAGGGGAATGTGGAGCATGTATGTGGGTACGGGGCCGACGGGGGAAGGGGGGGGGGGGGGAGGGGGAGTCTCTGTCAATTGACAGAGTAAGAGGCCTACATACCCTCGTCACCCGAATAGAATGCCCCACGCTGAAGCCAGTAGCACCTAGCGAGGCGAAATTGACATGCACGGATTTCGCACCACCGGGAACAGCAGTAACTGGCAAACTCATGCCTATTCTCCACAATACCCCCAGCTTGTTTGTGGCTGGGGGTAGTAGGGGGAGAAAAAGGTTGTGCCCACTTCCTCCCTTCGGTTGGAGGGGGCCTGATTTCATGAACCACTCAGACGTCAGCCAGGCAGCACAACCAACTGCCGCCACTCATGCAATCATGCCAACAGGATTCCAGTGTAAAATACTGCCAAGCCCTGGGGTAACACTTAGCCATTGCTCTGCCGTACAATCGGCACAGGATGTCAAGGACCTACCTGACAACCTGCACAGAGCTGAACCTGCTGCAAGTCAGCTGGGCCATTCACACAGGAGGGCATTCATGACCTGGTGACCATCTGCAGGGGATGCCAGAGACCACCCACCTGCAGGTCAGAACGACACGACCGGCAGGTCAAAAGTGGACCACATAAAGGTCAGAGCTGGACCCCATGCAGGTCAGAACTGGTCCAGGACCACATGCAGGTCAGAACTGGTCCAGGACCACATACAGGTCAGAACTGGTCCAGGACCACATGCAGGTCAGAACTGGACCACATGCAGGCCAGACCTGGACCACATGCAGGTCAGAACTGGACCACATGCAGGCCAGAACTGGACCACATGCAGGTCAGAACTGGACCACATGCAGGTCAGAACTGCAACAGCTATAGGACTGAGCTGACCATCAGCAGGCAAGCCAAACTGAGGGGACCTTCATCACGGAACGAAGTGGACCTCTGTAAGGCAGCCAAGTGGACCAGCTGTTGCATCCAGGCTACCGTCCGTAGTCCTAGTCGACTCTCAGCATTCCTAGGGACATGAACTGCACCACCTGGTCAGGCAGCTCCGCCAGCAGTTCCTGGGCCAGCTGATGATCGCTAGTTATGTTTCGCATTGAGACAAACTGGACTATATCGCGTTCCGCACTCAGGCCACCGAACTTGAGTGGTCGATCGTCGCTGTCGAGAGCCACCATCCTGGAGAAATCTGCCGAGCCCACTCCCACAATCAAGATGGAGAGAGGAAGCCTCGACGCTGCAACGAGTGCGTCCATCGTTGACTCCATGTCATTTATGATACCATCTGTGATTATGAGGAGGACGGAGTACTTCAACCGACCCTCCCGCATGTGTGCCTCCGCCATTTGCGATGACCTAGTGATCACAGGTGTGAACAGTGTCGGTCCCGCAAGCGACACCACATTGCGCGCTTTCTCGTAGGCCTCAAGCACCCCCTGCACACCCATCACTTCCGAGTTAACCGGGTCTCCGTTCAAGTTGAAGCAGTGGGAGACCACTTCCCCTCCCACGCAGGCTCCAAAGCCCCAGGCCGGGAAAGTCTTGTTCGTGTCATAGAATTCTATCACTCGGCCAACCGCGCTAATGGCCTGCTGATATGCATTCTGCCTTCCATTGGGGTCCACATAATGAAGGGAGTCCCTACTAGTTGGGTGGCCATTGGAAGCAGTGAAATCCACCGCCACGTGGAAGCTAACCTCGCATCCCATGGCCAGGTATTGCAAGAACGACCTTGGCTGAATGATATCGCATCGAGTGCAGAAGAGCGTTCCACCGACTTTGCTGGGTTTGCCCTTCTTGTGGCTTTCTCGTTTCAAAGGTATGCCCCTTTGAAGTGCAACGTCCTCCGTCAATCGTCTCACGGATCTGTCAATGCTGCCGATGAAATCGTCCCGAGTGAACGTGTCGCGATCGAAGCACTCGATCCGCAGAGGGCGGTCGATGTCTCCGGCGCAGAGAATCTGGAGCGAGACGCCAATGGGTCGCCAGACGGGGTTCAAACTGCGCGAAACCGCCTCCGTTTGGCAGATCGGCGCAGTGCTGCCGTCTTCTAGAACCTTTGAAATCTTCAAATACGGGTCGCTCTTGCCGAACGGGTAAAGGTCCATCCTGTCGAGTCCTGTACCCCGGAACCCGAGCATCACCGTGCCATGGCTTTGGGAAGCCACCTCCTCCACATGGATAGTCAAAGATCCCATCTTTCTTGCACCCCTCCCTAGCGAGCCGCGTCTGGATTTGAACCCAAGTCCATGTGTGCCTGCACTTCTGCTTCTGTTATCTGCAAATGGCAGAAGCTCTTTGGTCACCACGTGGCCCTTAGCTCGGACCATCTCCGACAGCCAGCACTCGGCTTGGCCAAGGAAGTCTTGATCTTCTAGTCTGATCTTCGAAACGTCTTGGCGGGATCCCGTGTCCGCATCGTACACAGTGAAGCATAGCATCTGCATCAGAGCAAATTGATAACTCACGACAAAGTGTTGCGTCCATTTGGGATTCAAATTGTTCTTGATGATTTCCGTGCGCCCGATCTCAGTCCAAACAGGAACATCTTTATTCATTTCGCAAATCTCAACGACAACCATCCCATCAGATTTGGACAAGGTGTCTTTGTCGAGGAGATTCTCGGCCTGTAAGCAGATCTGAATGCGGGAACAATCTTCTCCTTGATTCTTCATCATGAATTCCACAGCCTCCAATGATTGTTCTCCATGGATGAAATTGAACCACCAACCCCCCCCCCTGGGGTGGCCAGGGACAGTGGTGAGAGTGGTTGAAGAAGTTACCGGGATACCTTTGCAAGGAGGAACACCTAGGACCCGTTTGCAAGGATAAGCAACGACTTCTTTCTTCACGCATGTTTTCCTCACCTTCCTCCGCCTCCTAAACCTCAAGGATGGCATCTGGACTGGATGAGCACCCGGGAAAAAATTACTGTACGGTTTTTTGACTTGTGGAGGCGAGGGGTCCCACAGCAGATCTCCGTCTCCGCTGCTTCTTGCTCCTGCCTGTCGCACGCTGCGCAAAGTACCGTCCAGAAGATGTTGAGTGGTTCTACCAACTTTGGTTATGTCCGTTCGAGGCAGTAATTGTATTCACTTTCTTGTGCCGGTATTCGCCTAGCTATTTCAACTTTTCAATTTTGCTTCTGCTTCTGCTTCTCCTCCTTCGATAGGAACAAAGTGCTCTCTCTCTCTCTCTCTCTCTCTCTCTCTCTCTCTCTCTCTCTCTCTCTCTCTCT